GAATAAATTTAGCCAGGGTGTAGATAACTTTCAGAGTAATGTGGGCAGAGTTATGCTTTCACTCAAAGTCATGAGGGGTAGAAAAGCTAAACCTCTTCAAGGTGGGGTTCAGGAGGTCTCTGAAGACACCTGTCATCATAGGCCACACGCCGCAGGAGGAGGTTGGACTCCAAGACCTTGGGGTTTCTGCTAATCCTACACCATACCGTGAGAAAGAGAAAGGGGTTTTGACATTGTTTTCAGTGGGTTGGAAGGGCTCCCTGATATTTACCCGAGATAACAACCAGGCACCTGCCTGGCAATATTCCAAAAAACCTGGAAAAACTTGAACCACTGACCTCACCCAGGGTCATGCAGTTATCCCACTCTTGAAGACAATATGCCAAACTTCTGATTTTCCACATTTCACAGACACAAATTCATAGCAGACTAAAATAAACAGAACTGGGCACAATATCAAAGCTTTTTGCTCTGCTTTTGTCATAAGACTATCCTTCATCTTACAAGCCAGTGCTACCCCTTCCATTCACAAGAGGCACTTTATTTATTCGACTAATTACAAATCAGCACGATGGTAAGACAAGGATTAGACCCCATTGCTGGAAGATCAAGCTGAGATACTTGATAATGATAATTTAATGATATCTTAAGGTCAGTCTAAATTCATGCATGCATTCATTAACCCGCATGTCATTAAATTTAGGTTTTCAGATGTTCCCGTCTGTGAGGGAGCTACAGAGCACCATTATGAAAAAAATGCAATGGAAACAACAGCTAAGCAATGCAGGGCTCCAAGGAAAGGCCCTGACACGTTGGTTGCTCTTTCTCATGTCACTAAGGCATCAGACACTGTGTTTAGGGAACATGGATTCATGCAGAGCGAGTACGTCTGACAGACAAAGGCTGCATAACACCTCCAGAGCAACGTTAAACAAGCACCTTAACACCTTTTGTACCTTGTGTAGGAAACAGTTGACACTGTCAAGAGTCGCTGGGAACAGGGTCCAGAGCTCCCAGTCTCCTGCTCCTTCCATAACCAAAGTCCCTCTTTCCTTCCCAGCACTTGGCTACAATCACACTGACAGAGGAGGAAACATAATCACTGCCCCGCACAGCCCTTCCTTCCCCTTCCCCACGAGCACTGCCAGAGCAGCTGGCTGTTTCACGCAGGCACACAGCCAACACCAGCCCAGGGGGACAGCAGTGGCTGCTGCTCCTCAAACAGCAGCCTCTGGCAGCTCTTGGCAGCTCTTACTTTTTGGACAGAAAAAGCCCAGCACCTGGCCCATCCCCGTAACACTGATCTTAAAGCCCAGGAACGATACCACATCTTACCAGCATCATAGCAAGCTTCGTGCAAGACACACAGATTCGGTGGTAATGCTCACCTCCAGCAGCCCCCAGCATCAACTGGAACAAAGAAACAGCCACAGCATCCCAGGCAGATACCTAAGCCGTGTGTAGCATTTATCTCATCTCCGTCAAATGGCACCGTCTGCTGTATCGCTAACGCAGGAATTCAGCTCCTTGACAGCAGCCGAGAGTCCTTTTTCAGATCTCTGATCTGTACGCGGTGTGGCAGGATGCAATGGGAGGAGCAAGGAGGATTGCCATGGTTCACGTGGACCTGCTTCGCTCGCAGGCAAGAGCAGCCTCAGGGTTCTTGTCACAGCACCTTTCACCAGCACCAGAGACATCAAACACGAATCCACCTTAAAGGGTAATGCTATACCTCTATGAGCTACTAGTTACCTTCCTGTCATATGCAAGCAGAGATCCCCCCCACTGTCCAGAAACTCATCCCTGCACAGCTGACTCCTGCATTCACCCAGGGAAGGCAAATGAATGAAATTCAGAGCAAGCCTGACATGCTGACAGTCTATCCCTCCTGCCTCAGCAATAAGGCTCTCAAGGAAACGTGTAAGAAAGGCCCCCCTTCCTCCTCAGACTACCTCTTTTCTCTTGTTTTTGATGTTGTGCAGATGGCTTGTTGGGCTTCCACCCACACCAAACACATCAAACTGGTAGCAGAGATTGAGAGACCACTTTCCCCTCCAGCCCAGCCTGTACTATCAGGTACAAACCATCTCTTCTAGAAGCACAAGACAGTGACAGCTTTCCAAAGCAGTCAAGCACAGGTGTGCCAAGATGGGCACTTCACAGCATCAATTAAGGCCTCAATTTTGTAATTAGGTCAATGTAAATAGAAAGGTCCTCTTGCACGGCAAACCTACACCTGCTTTCCCTTACAGTCATCCTCAGTGAGACTGATGCATCCTGACCAGGGTTACCCTGCATCCGTGAGTGATCTCCCTCACTAGATCAGTCTGCACTGGAACTACAGAGTGGTACCAATTTCTGAACTGCTCAGCAATTAAGGATCCTCAATGCAAGACACTTGCAGAGAGTTCTGCAAATGTACACAAACCAGCCAACAACCATCAGCTTCTCGGAAACTTGCTTCTTTTTGCATGTTTTGTCCTGTATTTTTTTCTTCTTTGTAACAAAGATGGTCAGAACAACCTGCAGCAGCAGTGCCGTGGATTAGCAAGGTATCAAAATACAAAACAAACAGTGGCCACACAGGATATCGCGGAGTGTTTTTATTTAACCAAAATAGTTATTCAATTATAAATCAGTGTCAACACATTTACAGAATTTCATAGGCATCAGTAACTCTGCAAACAGCTCCAGTCAGGGTCTATAGTCACCTCATCACCACAGCAACAGCTCAGCATAGGAACCTGAATAACACGCAGGTGTGCCTTTCATACATTAAGAGGCCTGAAGATGTAAGCAGTGTAACATGCCTCTATTGCAGTTGCCACAGTTTCATTACTTTGGTAGAGAAATCATTGTTATTGCTGCAATTCATTAGTTAATTTTTGACTTGCTTTTAAATAACCGCGTTGCTCCCCATCAAAGATTTGTCCTCTGTATGAAAAATGTGATTAAGATTGAGCTGCTTCTTTCAGTCACTTGACACAAGTGCTGCACGCCTATTCCTTGTGCCTTGCTGCAACTGCCATCAGACCAAGGAACTCAAAGGACTGGAATATGCTGGCCATGCACTTACTATCCCCTTCCCAAGACAGCTCGTCAGCTAGCACTTCATGGCTTCAGATTTTGTTTTTCTAAAAACAAAAACTAGTAAAGAAAGGAATATATACTCGAGTGGCTTCAAGTTTCCATTTCAGTATAAGGCAATTAAGTTTACACGTGTAATTGCCCGTACAGCTGAGCCCCTCCTTAGAGGGCTGTTTTAGTGGGCAGGCTGCAAACACAGAGATGCTTTGGAGAGCGGGTTCCCCTCAGCGGCCAGCCTGGAAGGGCTTCCCAGAGCCCAGTCAGCACATCCCAAACACATTAACCATCCACCTTGCATGGCAAAGGCTGGGGCTCACAAAAGCAATGAGAAAGGCCGTACCTGTCCCAGCCAGGGAAGAAATGCCTTCCCAACCCTGACACTGTGAAATTTGCATGGCACTAAAAGCAAGCAATGAACCAAAGCTGCTTCTTCAGGCTCTGACTGGAAGAAGCTCTACCCAGCACACAGAGAGAAGGCATGGAGGGAAGCATGCTGCATTTCATCTCCTTTGCCAGTTCTCCTGTACACTTAAATGCACCACAACCTCCACAGCAACAGGGACAGTCCATAGGCCATTTCCATAGTATACTATGGATACCTGTTCCTGTGCTGGTCACGGCGCCTAAGTATCCAGGTGCCCAAGCCCAGGACAACTCTGTGCAACTCCTTCCCACTGCTGAAGCAATTTGGAAAAAAATAAATTCTTTTTAAAAAACAGGTATGAGGCAAGTCCCAAATTGTTTAGACTGGGCAAAATAAAAGGACTGCCAACTCCAAACATTCATTGCCCTGCTTAGGTGGAAAGAAGAGGTAGAACTAGTGGACAGAGACCCGCTAGAAGGATAAAGGCATTTTAAGATAAGGGGAAAAACTGACAGACCAGAAATCAGCATTTTTCAAAGCCTCAGGGAGTCATTCTGCTAACTACTGTAACTGAAGGTGTCTTATTTAGTCAGCAGAGTCACTATTCTCTGAGGTCACAAAGAATAGATTAAAATCCTGCAAGTCACCTTCCTTCTCAGGGCTATACTAACATCCACCATCCCACTGAAATAGCCCAGCCCCCAGAGTTGTGAGGCAGTGACTCCTGTAATCGCAGGAACCTGCAGTCCTAAAGGACAAAGGCAAAGATGTCCACGGGTCCCTTGGATTAGCATTTTCTCTGTTAAACTCCCTCTAAGCTTCCCCTCCAGCTTTACAGTCCCTTGGGCACAGGGCTTCAGAGCACAAGTAGCGCTGCTGATAGCCAATCCACCAGTGTTATAAGGACACAGTTAAGTTCTTGGGGAAGGACCAATATCAGCTATGGTAAAACTCTGGCAGCAGGGGTGGCAGACAGGAACAGCAGAAACAGTAAAAGCAACTCAAGGAAGGAAGCATGTGCATACGCAGAAGCGTTACTGTAATAGTCCTCAAAACTGAGCATGTAGTGTTATGGGGCAGCCACAGCGAGAGCCCCACTGCAGAGCACGGGCCTAAGGCCACCTCCTGTCCCATGCCTGGGGCTCTCCGCACAGAGGTCTATTAGTACACCCTCACTTCTGCTCTGCAGCAGCACCTCAGTGACAGAGAGAGTAGCAGTTGACCAGACAATCAGGAATGTGCCTTTTCAATGGCAGCCTCCAGATTAGTCTTAGACTAAAACCTCCCAAGGCTTTCATTCTTTGAGAAAATTTACTGTTCTTTGCTGCACATCCCATATGTGCAACGGAAGAACAAAAGGCATTTTAGAAGGAAGATATTTGTTCTTACTTATGTAAGAGCTAATACATTTACCTTCTAAAATGTGCTACTAAACAGTATAAATATGCATCAAATACCATTAAGGTGACTGAGTTGGGAAGAAGAGGCAGAGATTAAAAATCAGACCTCTATCTTCAAATGTAGCCATGAAGAGTCTTCACTGGGCGCACTACGGGCTTTCAGGAGAGCTGCTTTGCTGCTCTTGTCTTCTGCAAGCTTTCACAATACTGTGTATGCCACTGATGAAGAACACCAGCGAGATGACCGCAAAGTAAGAGGCATAAATCATGAACTTCAGAGAATGGGAAAGAAAAAGAAAAAAAGAAAAGAAGTTGTTAAGCCAAGCAGTTACCAACTTTGTAAGAAGGTTAATACCTGAGCTCCCTTCCTCTTCCAAAATACCAGGAATCAGTGATTATTCCTCTGTCAAACCCTTGACCCAGAAACAGGTAGCCGAGAAGCTTTACAGCTTCGTTTACCTTCCTCCCTCCCATCAGTAAAGCTAAGAGTGTCTATCGTACCTGGGTGAAAATGTCCAAGCCAAGCACACTGGCATCCACAACAATCAAAGTGAGCAGAGTCTGAAGTACTAAGGCGATGAAAGTATTGACCCCAAACACCAGGGCGTACCGCTTCACGCTGAGATTTGAAGCTATCTGGAACCTGGAAAGAAAGGGATGACCAGAAAGATAAGGACAGGGAAAAAGCAAGGAATTGCAAGAATAGGAGGAACATCTCTGGACAAGAAGACTATGCAACCTGAAGAGCTACATAGACTGGTCCAGTATTTTCCATAGCTAAATTACCTTGCACTGATAGTGTCCTTTTCTAAATAGGATCATGACAGACTAGCATAGAGGCTAGAAGAGACCCACAGACACATGTAAAAAGCTTAAAAAAAAACCCCAAACAACAACAACAACAAAAAAAACCAAACCAAAAAAAAACACTTTGGGAGCTCTGTGGGTTTCAGTCTTACAGAAGCAGCCCTCCGACCTGATGTAGCTAGAAGGTCTTGTCATGCAGAGAAGATACAATGTGCTCTGATCCCCGAGAGATGTTGGCAATCTCAAAGCATCAGCCTACTGCAGTGTGGTCCATAACCTCCTGCATCCTTCTAACCAGAACTCCTTTTGCAGTTACCAGTTTCAGCATCACCCCTCATATTGTGCTTGAGCTGTTTTGTAGCTATTATGCACGTATAGTTCAACAACAGGTGTTTTTTCCTCCCCAAAGTGACAAATAACATTGAAGTTTGCCTCCTTACAGATCAGGGAAAATTGACACTTCAACACAGGCAAAGCATTGTCCTCTCCTCGTCTGCTAACACTTCACTCAACCCATGTTTATGAAAAGCATTCCCCTGGCAAGCAGAGCTATGTAATATTTAGAAGTAGTGACTTCAGCATCATAAGACTTTCAAACTCGGGCAAGTTGCCAGCCAAATGTGGCTAAGTTTCCAAACTGAATCACAAGACAAAACCTTGCAACAGATTTCCAAATTCCCGGTAGGCGAGAGTCCAGTTACATGGAAAATATGCCAGCTTTCACAGCAGCTGGCAGTATCGAGAGCCTTGAGAGCAATTTATATTTAAAAGATACTCACGTTGCTATCGTGATTAGCAGTGTGTAGATAATTCTGAAGACAACATAGGATGCATAGCACACCCAGATGTTACGAACAGTGTCCATGATATATACAGCTGCAGCAATAAGAAAGGAGAACAGGGCAAGCGCCAATTCACCCCACGTTGCCCAGGATATTTTTATGTGACCCACAACAAACACTGCAACAGCTCCTGCAAGGGGAAGGAAAGCATAATTGTTAGTAATTGCAACTGGAGCAAGTTGGAGACTGTGTATTAGGACCTCTATGGCCCCTAATAGCCAAACATGATTGAAGTGGAGGAAACTAATGTGCACACCTTAGTGGCTCTCCTTCCAGACCTCTCCCTCACCTGGAACCCCGCTGTAAACTCCCATTCACTTTTACAGGAACGGGGCGGGGAGTGGGGAAAGCATCAATGCTGACTGTCTCTGAAGTCTCCTCTCCGGCTTCAGTAGCACAAGAGCCCCACGACTCAGACCACTGCCACTCAGTACTTTGTGCCTGACTGTAGCAGTGTTATCAATTGGGTTACACAGAAATGCAAACCCTGGTTCTCCAAAGCACTCAGCTAATTATTTTGTGGCACTTTAGGGTGGGTAGGGGGGAGGAACACTACCCACTTTGATACACAGCTGTTAAAGCTCTCTCCCAGGAGGCAGAAAAAAGCCCTACATTTACCATCATCTTCATGCTGTGCTGTAAAAGTAAGAGCAGGGGTCCAAATCCACGTCTCCCGGGATGCAGCCTGACTGCAAGCTGCAGTCACACACTGTTGATTGTGCAAGAAGATTCCTTTACAACCAGAACAGGCTTGTAACTTCTGCTGGATGTTACGAAGGGGGGATGGAGGGCAAAGACAGACCACAAGATGGAAAGTGTGTGGTATTTCATGGAACTAAATGAGCAGACAAGGCGTGTTTCACGCCCTTTCACAGTTGTAACTACTGAGAAGCCCAAATACACATTACATTCCAAGAAAATTCTCATTTGAAGTAGGCCTTGTTCTGCAAACAAGCCAAATAGCAACCAACAGCAAAATGACGCTGCAGTAGACAGCGAACTAGACAAACAGCATACTGACAAAGGGAGGTTTGCTGGATGTCTCTGAAAAACAGGATTGTATTCAGCATTTGACCACTGTACAGAAGTGCTACAGTACAGCATCTAAGCTCTTTGTAGCCCTTAGCTGGGCTGCTATCTCAGAAATCCTTCAAGCACATGAAGACTCCGTATGTACCATCAGTGTGTACCAGCCTGCAACCCTGTCAGACCTCATATAAATCTTGCAGACCAGTGAAGAAAGTAGCTGTGCCAAGGGAAAGGAGATAATTTCCCCCCACTAAACTCTTCTTTCCAGTGCCTGCTGTGACACTACCCGACTGACATTTTGCTCTTTGAAAGTCTGGCTCTCCCAGAAGCAAAACGCCGAGATGCAAAACCAAGCTAAATTCCAGAACCTTCTTTCTACTGTTTCAGCAATTCTGAAATTTAGGAACACACATGGGATCTCATGGCAACTCATGAAGTTGTACTTCTCCTATGTCTCAAGTTTATATCAGCCTGACACCTAACTATGACATGATATACAATCTGTGTTCTGCAATTAGACATCTACAGCTGATCCAGCTGTTTCAGAACCCTATCTGATAAAGGATTGCTACATTCCCAAGAAGGTGCAGGGATGCAGCCTAACAGTCAGTTGACCTTCTTGACTCACTAGAAGCTATATGACTTATCTTGCCCAAGGCAGGAAGCTGACAGCAGCATGCATCACCATGCTCAAGTTAAACCCTTCTGCAGGGCAGCACACGCAGGGGTGGCCACAGCATCTGTCACAAAGGTTGCCAAACATTGCTCATAACTGAGCACAGAATGATTAAGAGCCATGGAAATGGCAGATCAGATCTGGGAGGCACCAGGAAAGGTACTTCCAGTAAAGGAAGAAGAGTGAACAGCATGTTCTTCTACAAGTCTGAGGCCTCACTGAACAAAGCTGAGTACAGCTCCCGTCATCCACCTTCAAAAAGAACGCAACTCAAACCAGATGCAAAGAGGGGCTAGTAAGATGACAGAGTGAACAAAGAGCTTAACTTTACCAAAGAACAACTAGAAAAACTTGGCTTCTTTGGCCCAGAGCAAAGATTTTGTGCTAAAATACAACCTTGTCATGACATCAGAGATAAATTAACTGCTCATTAGTAAATTCAAAATGGAAATCAGAAGAAGTTAGAGCATTTGCACTAGTGCCTAGGAAGTCAGGTCACTGGATGCTCATCCTTAACAGGTCCCTTCCAGTCCTGTTATACACTCCAAGCTTTTAGCTGACATTATTACTTCACTAAACTTCACTTGTTCCAAGCGATGAATCTGTGTCAACCTGAACGATTTTTTCATTCTGTCTTTTGAGCAGTTCACACACAGAGGCTATTTTGCTTTCAGAAAACATCACCCAAAATGATTCAATCATTTATAAAAATGATACTAGAGAAAAAAAAAAAACAAACAAAGTGGGAAATGAAAAACTTCAAATTTACGTGAATTTAGGGCCAACCACCTTTCCTTCCAATAGGTCCATTGTTCACAAGTCTTCAAAAAAACCAAAAACGACCTTGATATCAAAGATGTACATAATAACATAATAAGGTTTGAAGAATACATCTTCCTTTTTTCTTCATTTTTTAAATCTGCTGACATTTGGCCAAGCTATGGGTCTTCTTTCCCTTGCTACTGATTCTTCTCCTTCCTGGGACCAAGGCAGGATGCTAGAGGAAGCCAAATCAAACAAGAAATAAGAGCCACAGCATCATACTAGAGCAGAGGAACAGTGTGTGACTGCATGCTATTAAAGTGCAGGTTTAGCACACCAAAGATAAGATTTAATAGCCAAAGCCTTCAGAATCAACTTGCTGACAGTTTCAGACCCAACTAACAATGGGTGGTACAACAGTTTTTCAACAATAAAACAGCCACAGCTTCCCACTGAACACCAAGAGGAGGCTGAGCATGCTGAAGAAAGTACTAAGCCTTCCTTGCTCAAGTACTTTGGTTTCTTTTGCAACCCCCATAGGTAATGTCCATACCAGATGGTGGAATGATGACTCCATCAAAGGAAAGGAACATACTGTAGCAACACCTAGAAAGCCTCTGTAAGGGTATGTTAGATATATTAAAAAGGTATTGTCCTAGTTCTGGTAATGGAACAGTATTAAACAACTTAATAAGCAAATGTTTGCCTTGACTGACCTACCTGTCCCTTTCAAGTCAAGCAACTTCTTTCATCTTAATAGCTTTGCTGTTTAACAGTGCTGAATTGACTAAATGTGGCTTGCTGCATGCTTACAGGAAACACGCATATGCTCCCAGCACTGCCAGTGAAAAAAAAACCACAAACAATAGAGCAATAAACCCATAGGACCCTTAGTCTGACTTTCAGTGGTTAACACAAGCAAAACCCCACTGCCATAGTGACAGCCAAGAACACAGAGTCAGTTGCATGCCTGGAGCCTTCTGCCAAATACTTCAGCATGGAGATTGACTTTGGAGGCTCCTTTAAACACCTACATATTGGATTACAAGAATTAGGGCTGCGCCCAGCAACTAACTCAACACTGAGCACCATACCTGTGCACGTCAGGGCAGACTCACCCTGAATGCTGGGGTTGCCCCTCCTGCGTGCTTGGGGGAACGCAAGACACTTCCAAACCATGCTCTGGTGACTCTGAGGGACACTAAGCATTTCTTTTCTCACAGCAGGGCAGGAGCTACACCAGAAGCTTACCCAGCAGTGTCGAGACTGCCTCCACGGCACCGTTGTAGATCTCCGTGCTGTGAGAAGGCAGCACCATCTCCCACAGGCCCTGAGCGTAGTTGACGATCTGGAAATAGCCGCAGGTGGACAGCGCCCACCACACGGACCAGCAGAGCATGGTCCGGGAGGAATAGCACTGCAAGAAGTCCTGCCAGAGATCTTTGAGCACCTTTACAAAGTCTACTTCCTGCATAGATTGGAGAAGGAAGAGGAGAGAAATGTTAATCTTTGTTTATAGGTAATTCACACTGCTCCACAAAATTGCCCCCTTTAAGTGGTCTGATCACTGGTGAGTGACACTACCACTCCTGGACACAAACCTCCACAGACTAATGAATAAAAAGCTTCCCCATTCTGCAGTCTCAGCAGCTGGTCTCTGCCCTAGCCAGGGCCATCCCCTTACATGCAGAGGAAGGGTTCAGTCCCAAGCACCCCTTGATCTCTGGCTCTCTCAAGCAGAGAGCAGTAACTGCTAGTCACAAGTACTACATAAGCAACTGAAGGGTACCAGCGAGAAGAGACACAGCAGAACAGGATACAATATCCACTTTGACAAGACAGGATCAGAAGCCGGTCATTCAAATCACGAAGGCAAAAGCCATCACTGACACTTTTAAGTCCCGATCCAAATTCAACCAAATTCGGCAGTGCAGAGGACATGAAAGCCACCAGATGAGTATACTTCCCCACAAATAAGTCGATTTTCTTCAGTACTAGCATTCAGAGATTACAAATATTCAAAGCTGTCATCTCATTACGCCACACTCTACCCCTGTTAACATTCGTCAAGGCTCTGAGAAGGCGAGAGATGTTGCCTGGAGATCTGAAGAAAGTACTTCCACCAGACACTGCTATCACAAGTGGCAGCTCCCGTATATACAAGCACTCTGACAAATGGCATGAGATAAAAACGAAGCTTTCCCCTCCAAATCTTTCTAGAAAGAGCATGAAAGGGTGCATACCCATGAAGTGGTTTGAAAAAAAATTTGAAATTAGATCAGTTGTAGCAACAGGGGATGACAACAAAAGAAAATTCCCTTTATATACAGGCTATTACAGTGCTGTTCCTAACCACTTTATGCCAGCAGCAGCAGAGGAAACGAGCATGTCTTTACTTTGTAGACATTGCTGTACACACATGTACAGAGTCTTTGTAGCCAGGCAAGACCCTTCTTGTGTAAGTTCAGAGCAGCAGTTACTTCACCTGAGACTGGGCAGAGCCCCCAAGGCTCTAGCCCTCATGAACCTGGATTCCCTGCAGGGAAACACACAGTCCTGACACAGGACTGAGCAATTGCACATCCAGTTTTAGAGCAGTTTCTGGACAGCCACAGCAACTTTGGGCTCTTGGAGGCATGCCCTTTCCCTGGGGGAACTGTGCAGTGTGTGCCTGGGAAAGACTGCTCTCCACAAGCAATAAAACTCATTTTAAGGTGTTTCTACTAAAACCCACAAAGACCATAGTCTAACGCTGTCCTGAACTCCTTTTTTTCCCACCCCTCAAAGTTCCAATGATTTCTAAGCATCTTTATTGAACACGATGCGGTCCCACTGGTGATTTGCCAATGACAAAATGCTTGCTCCGCATGTGGACACTGATCCTCCAGAGCCCAACAAAACAACACAGGAAGAGGTCAGCCTGGCGCAATGAGAGTTTAGCAATGCAACTCCCACACAGAAGGTTTTACACAAAGATCAGGCTCAGCTGCAGGAAAAACAGGGAAGGAAACTGTCAGATACGCTGGAAAAACTGATTTTGCACATTCAACTCAAGCATGTGCCTGACAAGGCAGAAAGACCCATCTGCCGTCCCATCACCTGGCAGTGCTCCTTCAGTACAATTATTTGTACAGCCATTCATTTATGTTCATGAAATATGGTTGCCTTTGCCTTAGTAAGAAGGACTATCATCACAGGCCAATGCTCCTCAGCTTTTAGCACCTGGTATAACTGAGCTCTGGAGAGTTATGCAAGTGTACTTGCTCCTTTTTAAAAATTTTCACCATTAGTTTGGAACCACCCTTGCTCTCACAGGATAGAAGCAAGATAAACAAAAAGGATGGATAAGTTATATTAATACCTCAGTCATTATTAGCACAGAATTGTCTCGTTTAACAAATACCCTTCCGCATGCAAATACAACATGGTTAAAAATACTTTTGCTCACACAAGATCGTGCTGGATGTGGTCCCTGGAACGTTAATACCTTTAATTCCCAGCTGTAGCTAGAAGAGGCTGGAAGAGGCTGAAAGCAGTCTTGGATGCTGCCTCCTCCACCCCACCCCAGCCAAGGCTTACTTGCTAAGTGAAATACCCATTAGCTGACTAAACCAACAGCCGCACTTACCTTCTGGCTTTTCTCAGAATGAGCACAACCTCCCCAGGGCCTCAAATGCCCGTGCCATGGCAGGCTCTCCGGACACGTGCCTTACCTGAAGCAGCATGGCAGAGACCTGCCCAGCAGGCAACGACACACACCCATCGGGCCTCAATGCTGGGGGCTGCTCGCTTGTCACCTCGGGGGAACCAACATATCCTGCCACCAAACAAAGGCACCTGCACACTTGTTTCTGTACAAATGACTTTGTTAAAAGTTACGTAGCCCACAAAAGTCACAAGTCGGGCTACTACCTTGGCGCTCTCGTGGGCTGCTTTAAGCTGTTATTATGCAGAAGCATTTCCCTGCAATTTATCTGTATTCTGTCCATTTATAACTAATCAATGTCAGCCTGTAAGTGCTCTCAAGGACTACTGCAGTTTCCTTCCTGGACCGTAAGATAATACCCAATTACTACACAGCTTATTCCTGCACAACTTATGCAATAGTTGAATTAACAAGTATTTTCAAAGCACATGTACAGGAAGAATTGCCTCTTTTCTGTAAGTCACAAAGTACATCCAGAAGCACACACAGAATTTGGACATATACACAATGTTTAGTACCCCAGAGATGTCCCATGCTTTGTACCATTGAATGGCAACTTTATGCCCAGAGAATTTTAACCACAGCCTTGTGACACATGCAGAACAACTTCAGAAAAACTAAGGAGCAGCCTACCATGATCAATCAGCAAAAGGAAGCCAGGAATAAGTTTTCCTGTGCCATAAATAAGGAAGCAGGATAAGCAAAGGGATACTTCTTGCTGTTGGATATTACATTTCTACTGCTGTGTACACGTATGCACATATGATGCATACACATATATGCAGAACAACCACATCACTATCGCATCTTCTACTTACGTAAACCCAGGGCACAACTCACCTGTTTCTGTGGTGAACGACCCTCCTGGTTTAAGGGAACTTTTGTCTCATCCTCCCAGCCGGGTGTCCTCTGCACGTCGGGCTGATCTTGGACACTTGATCTGTTTTTACAGTCCACAACCTTCGTTTCCGAACTGAGCTGCTGACTTGAGACGTGGTGAAAGAAAAGGCTTTTTTGTGGCATTGGCAGGAACCACGCTATGCCAAAGGCAATAGATACACTGGTTAAAGAGATAACGTTCAAGCTGAAGAGGGACCATCGTGCCAGCGACACAAGGAGCTGCCCGGACACCGAGCCCACCGTGTAGCCCACCAGGACGGCACTCCGGCAGTAGCTAGTGACCTTCTGGTACAGGTCGACATCGACAACACTGTAGATGTAGGAGTAATAGGCAATCTCAGTGGCAGTCCCTACCCCATAGAAGAACTCGAGCAATTGGATGGCCCGCAGCCCCCGGGCATACAGCAGCATGAACCAGGTGACGATGAGGCTGAGGCCCTGCAGCAGGACCACGGGCTTGTACCGCAGGTAGTCCGTGGCCAGGAACACCGGGAACAGCAGCACCAGGTACGAGTAAGTCCACACCGGGTAAATCTCGTTGAACAGCTGGCGGGGGAGAGGGAAAGATGGTGGTAACCCCCAGCACCCACGTACTGCAAGGAAAACACAGACAGGCAGGCGGGGGTGCGAGATGCCCGGGGCCGCGGTACCTGGGTCTCGGTGAGGTTTTTGTGCGGC